TCAATCACTTCATATCAAAGAGCTTATCCACCTCTCCCTGGTAGTGCAACAAGTATTCCAGAACTCATGACCGTTGACCCCATTGTCCCAACATCACAGCAACCAGGTGATGATGCGCTCCCCTGGTTGACAGGTAAAATCTTTCCGCATATTCTATAGTTTGGTTGAGGTCCAGAGTCGAGAAGTCACCTCTTCTTCTTCCTCTTCCTCTGATCCATGTAATAATAACTCTTGTTCAGATGCTGTTCCCTCTAGTAAGTGCATTGGTTCTTCATCTTTCTTCACTGTACGGGTTGCTCTTTGTGCCTCTTCTTTTTCCCTTTCTTACAGGGGCAGCTGGTGTTGGCACAAATTGGTCCTTTGGTTTAGCTGCAGTGACTATCCCTGTGGTTGGAGTGGCTGCAGTATCTGTTATCAGGGTTGGTTCAGCTGCTGTGCTTCAGGGTTGAGCAGCACCAGCAGCTGCGTTGTCTGTTGCTGTTGGGGTTTGAGTAGCTGCTGTACTTGTCACTGGGGTTGGTGTAGCTGCTGTGCTTGAAGTTGGAGTAGCTGTGTTGTCTGTTGTAGTCAGAGTCTGAGTAGCTGCTGTACTTGTTGCTAGGGTTGGCGTATCTGCTGTATTTGGAGTTGGAGTAGCTGTGCTGTCTGTTCCTTTGCCATCAGATCCAGAGACATTTTTTTCCCTTTGAAGGTACTGGATAGTGTTGAACAGGGATCTGTAAACATAGGTCAAGCCCCAGCACATTGCCGTGATTTGTCCCTCTCTGGTATGACCAGGATGACAGCACATCTATTTTACATGTTTTACTATTTTTTCTGGATTTTGCACTTGTTCAGTGGTGAAGTTCCAAAGCACTGGAGGGGCCCACTGACCTAGATACTTGCCGATACTGTCCCACACACCCTGCCACTCATGACTGTCCAGCCTCAGGGAAAATCTCGTGGTCCTCCTATATTGCTGTCTAACCCTAGACAAGACCCAAACCTGACTCTGCTGAACTTTTGAGATCAGATGAAATGGTTGTGGGTAAAACACACTCTGTATGTGTGCCAGCATGGTGATCCCCATCACAATCAGGGTACCCAAAGGCCATCCAAAACCTTCAGAACTCTCAAATGATGCTGTAAATAGTATGATGGGTGGGCTGGGAATGTAAGGGAATGTCTGCTTCATTGGTTGACTACCCAAGGAGGGAAAAAAAGACGTGCAGTTGCTAAACACTTCCATTATATACCTCCCAAAGTACAGAGGTAATGACCACACTGGGAACACAAGCCAGATCAGTTTCATGATCAATGATTCGATTGTATTACAAGTCATTACCATAAAGTACAGCGAAACAAGAAACAGCCCAAGCCCCCCGGCTGATAAACACTAAACTAGCAAATACCGGCTGTAAGTAAGGTACAAAATGCTGAAACTGTGAGATCAAGAGCAACAACTTGGAGAGCCAATAAATCAGCATTGTGACAAGTGACTATTAATCTGAAACAGTGAATGCTTATCACAGATATGATCAGACACACTCTGGTCAGATCTGTCGTTACCTCAATCCTTCGTGCCCCACATTGGGTGCCGTGAAGACCTGTTGTGGTTTAAGTCCAACCAGCAACCCAAAACCACACAGCCGCTGGCTCACTCTCCCCTTGCCTTTCTCCCCCTGCTCCCGGAGGGATGGGGAGGAGAATTGAAAAAATGTAGCTCTCATGGGTTGAGATAAGAACAGTCCAGTAACTAAGGTATAACACAAACCACTGCTGCTGCCATCAATAATAATAATGATAAGGGAAATAACAAGGGAAGAGAATACAACCGCTCACCACCCGCCGACTGATACCCAGCCTGACCCAAGCAGCGATCTAGTCCTTCCGAGTAAGTCCCCACAGTTTATACACTGGCCATGACATGCTGCGGTATGGAATACCCCTTTGGCTAGTTTGGATCAGGTGTCCTGTCTCTTCTTCATCCCGGCTTCCCCTCCTCCATGGCAGAGCATGAGACTCAGAAAGTCCTTGTTCAGAGTAAACATTACTGAGCAGCAACTAAAAACGCCGGTGTTATCAGCACTGTTTCCAAGCTTAAAGTCAAAACCACAGCACTGCACCAGCTACTACAAAGGAGAAAAATGACTGCTACTGCTGAACCCAGGACAGTTTCTTACCAGTGGAACAGATAGGAAACAGCTACCATGAGATACCAGGAGAGTCCCAGTCTGCAGAACCTTGTATGAGAAATAGACATCTGTTGAACTCGATTATGTCATACAGCAAACCCATTGCTCCAGGGAGCAAGATTTGTACAGTAAAACCAAAATTTTGTGGAGCAGAACACTGCAACTGAAGGACAACCTCTGTCAGGAGCTCACACTAGTCCGGCAGAGAAAGGCTGGGCTCTACAACGCAATTTCATATGTCCTTTCTAAGCACTTACTATTTCAGACTGAAAATGGTAGACTACATGTTCAAAACAGTTCTTATAAGCACACTTTGATATGGTCAAGTGTAAACCTGATTGTATTAAACCAATCTGCTGCAATGAGAACTTAATGTGTTATCAGCACTGACTATGAAAAATACCCTAAAGCCAAATGAACCAATACTGGAAGAAGACACTTCTGGCTATGCGAATATTACTCCTCTTACTCTACAAGTCTCACCTATCAGTTTAATGTTCTCATTTTTAAAATAACAAGTCCCTTGCCTCAGGAAGCTTTGAGAGCTCCATGCTGCTGACTGTTTGACCTTTCCCTCACCGTTACCAGGGGAGCAGAGTTGACAAACTGGAGGAAGGGAGTTCAAAAACCAAACTGTTCAATTTTCAGCCCTTCAAAAATATGTCCTTGAGCAAGCAGCCTGTGGAGAAAGAAGGGAATGCAGCTGGAGAAAAACACTTACAGCTTTTAGTGTGTGCATGGTCAAAAATCAGTGTGGCTGTTCCCACTATAAGTAGAATTTATTGTGTTCATTAGTACCCAGTGAGGTTATTTCAGGCCAGCCCAAGAGATACTGGGCAGCGTCAGGGTCTGAAACGTGTAAACAAGAAAAAAGAAGATGGACTGACATGCTGCTGTCGATCTCAGATCTTGACTGCTCATCAAAGCTTGGTTTTGCTCCAGACAAGTGCAAGTCCTGGATGAGAGTGCTGCGGGGTGGGATACCTCTCATCAGTTGTTTCTGAGACTAGCATCTGGCAGAAGTCTGCTTAAACCAAAACTCCTTCAGAACTGAGTTGTTTCCTGCTCTATCCATAAAGGAGGTAACAGAGAAAGCAGTCACATAACTTACCTCTTCCAGTTCAGTAGGGGTTTGAAGAAACTCTTAACAAGATTGCAATTAATGTGTTTTGTGAACAGCAAGAAAACTACAACGCTGCATTCAGTCCTGCAGGTGAGCTCGGGGAAGCACAGACTGAAAGGTTAAGAGACAGTGTCCAAACACTGTCAGTGCTTACGTGACACTGACACATGTATGTACCTGCCACCACCCCATTTACACTGCAAAAGGTGGGCCACCGGATACTTTTTGTCCCCCTTCACACTGTGGAAGAAATGAGCTCCCCCAGAAGTCAATGTTATGTAACAAATGCCACAATACAGCCTAACAAAGCACCACAAACGACTTACTAGAAAGGTCTCATTCATCTACATAAACAGATGAGATGTGGATGAATGAGACACCCTCCCCATGCACATGAAGAAAATGTTCAAAGCTTTCATTCGTTTTTTATTTTTATTTTTCCACCCCAAAATATATTTAGGTGAGTCTTCAATTCAAACAGGCTGAGAACCACTGCCCTGTCCTCCCCCCTCCCCAGGGCAGCACAGCCACATCTACAACATTCCTGCCAGATTGTTGTCTCTCTTGAATCCCTTCAGCTCACCTATGCATTCATCAAGGTCAATTCCAAGAGTTCATTAATGAACAGCCTCCTGACACATGCAGCATTTGCTTGTGTGGAGAATGTCTCAGGGGAATATTTTACTTTTTTAAGACATGACTTAGCGGGCATCCAGGGGGAAGACAGACTGACTGCTAGCCAAGGAGTTAAAGGGAAAACAAACCCAAACCAAAGCACACAAACCTGTCATCTGGGTCAGAGGATGGGCCATTTAATCCAGTAACTGGCTGCCAGCAGCAACAGTCATGAAAGAACATCAGAAGCACAGGGCTCTCCCCTAGCTCCCAGAATAAGCAGGTGAGAACAGTGCGAGCAAGACACTGTCTGATTTAAAGCCTACCAATGGACCCATCTGCATGAACTTCTTTTTCTATTGTGTTGGTTTTAGTCATGGACTCCACAGTACTATGTAACAGCAAGTTCCCTACTTTAATCACGTTATGTGAAATTTGTTTCTTTTCATTTTGTTTTTAAACTTACTACCTGGCAACATTGCTTGGGGGGGGGCTGACTCTTCTAGTATGAAAAGAGTAAATAAGGACTCCTCTTCTCCGGGTCATTTATCGGTTCACTGTCTTCTTTCATCCCTTCTCACCAGCCATTTTTTGTCTCAGCAGCAGTCCCTGCATCCTTTTGATCTCTAAGCAGCATATATAGCTCATAGGCCACAATAACATCAAGGCTCTGCCTGCACATGGACTGAAGCAAACTGTGACAAGTTATGATTTGTTGGAATGTAGCATTATCTTGAACCACACATGCTGGGAGGGCTGCTTGGATCCTACTGTGCAACGGAGGAGTCTGGTAAGTTAGATCAGAGACTCCAAATACACACAGGTAAAGATATATCAGCCTTAAGTGAAGGTGACACAGTTGTTTCTGACCCAAGGCAAAATGGTATGCAAACAGGTTAAATGATTAAGCAATCATTTTGACTGGTTTTTGTTTCCTCTGGCCAGAGAATGGCAGTTTATTTATATCACTGTGAATGGCACTACGAGGTGGCTGTTATACTATATCCTTAAGGTTAACAAATGTTTTATACCCAGCTATATGGGAGAATCACTGCAGATGCTCTTCATGAAGCAGCAAGTTAGATTACCTGAAGGTAACAGGATCCATAAAATGTTTTAAAATCTTAACATAGAGCAGGAGGGAAGAGGGGGCGGACACAACACCAGCTTCATTCTCTCCACAGGTCATGTCGACTACAAGGAAATTTTTGGCTGCGTCTAGCAAGGAAGAACTTGCAAGAGACTTTTTCAAATGAATTCTACATAAAATGCAAGCGATGCTGTTGAGATGGTGAATACAATGAAAGGTAAACTGTGATGAAATACTGGCTTACTGAATTTATTTGTTAGCAGCAGTGGATGGCAACACTGTAAAATAATTCTGCTTCTAAGCTGCCATTGCTAAAACACACCAAAAATTAATAGGCTTTTTTTATCTTTTAGTATCTGTGTTCACTTTGTGGTGCCAGCATAGTCAGGGTCTATAAATCCTTAATTTCCTCCATCTATCCTTGTCATCAGAGGACTGTTTTTTGAAAGTAAACGTAAAATACCAGCAGGTTAAGCACAGATAAAAAGGTAAAACGTAGTTAATGAAGCTTTAGAAGCATCCACAGAGTAACTTCACTGATTTAATATTTCCACGTACAAAGACAAAGCAGTCAGCATGAAAGAACCTCAAATGGGATGAATACTTGGCAAATAATATAAAGTGAGACTTCCAGTGACATTTCCACTAGATTTCAGAGATACTTCTATGCCTTTCAGGCCTCATTGTATGACGCCTGTGGCCTGATATTACTGAAGGAGGCTTTGAGATCAGGAGGGGTAAGTGGAAAGTATGTTTATGGCAAGATGTGTGGAAATAGCTACCTACACAAGTTGTCTTTTTTTTCGTCCCTTCAGGTTACCTCACTGTAATGAACAACTTCATAGATGGGTATAAAAGAATGACCAAGACTTGGACCTCTTGTTCTACCATACTGTTACCTATTAAGATGGTGGCTAGAAGTAGCTAAAACCATTAGAATATTATGTGGATGAAATTCTGTTAGCACATGCTCTAGATCCAGAAGGATTTAGGAGCCCATTTCCCATAGAATAGAATCATAAAGTCATAAAAACAACTTGATACCAATGGAAGATAAATGCTAAGTAAATACTAGTGTTGTAGGCCTGGGCTGAAACTTTTGCATACCCAGAGTATCACAGCATTTAACCCTTTAAATCTAGAACATCCCCTAAGAAACTACAGAAAAACCTGAGGATGATTAGTTTATTGCTGCTTCTGGTAAGAGGTAGATGCTTTTCCTCTGTGCATTAAAAACTCTCCAGAAGTTATGATGTTGGAACACAAATCAGCAGCTCTGATCTAGATAATTAAGAGCTAGATCTGACAGAAAAAGAAACATCAGACATACAATGCCTCAGACAACAGCAGCCTGTAAGACAAAATGGCCAAAGATTTCTTGTGGCAGCAGACTAGATTAGTCCACACCTTACAGCAGGTTTCCTCTTTGCTGCTCCAAGTTTGTCATCACATTGTACAAGTGCCAACACTGTTACCACAATTGGTTTCAATTAAAAAAGATTGCAAAACCTCATCTTTCCACCTGTTTTCACTGCCTGAGTGTAATGAACTTTTCCTGCTCATCACACAGTTACTTTCTAAGATATCAGATCCTCCATAGTCATTCAATTTATCTAGACAGTGCAGGGCAGTTACACGAGTGCTTGGAAGACATGAAAGAATGCCACAGGCTTACTAAAACATGGTAGTAATTCAGGGACTTGAATTTAGACATCTCTGTATATAAAATACTGCACAGCAAAATCTGTTCCACTAAACTCACAAGTTGTAAATGCATGAGTTGAACAAATGTTTATTTTCTAACTTCTCATTACTGTGACTGAATAGTGGATATCGTGTATGTAGAAGGTAAGCATTCAACATAAGAAAAATGTCATGTGCATAAACCCAGCTTTTGTAACTAACTGTTCATTAGTCCCACACATCAATGCTCTCTCATTTTATACCAAAACCATGATTATATTAGAGGATTCTGAAAATATGACAACAAAAATTGACTTGTCACACCCATGCTTTAGGTAGAGGAAACCAGAAAAGGCAACTTGAAAAAAAAGTACCAAAACCCCCCAAATATTAAACAAGTGATTTGAGAGAGAATAAGATAATCTTGAGGAGCACCATCACCTGCATGAGAATACCTGGAACAACAGCATCATCCACTGCCCACATGGTGAATGTCACAGGGACCACCTGGAGAAAATGACACTCCTGTCCCATTTGGGAAAGGGGAACTGAACTCATTCACTACATTCATTTACTACAGACACTAAAAGACTAGAAACAAGCCTTTCAAATTAGCTCTTTTTCCTGATTATAGCAGGAAATATTTCTTGAAACCACAACTAAATCTTTTGTTGTTTATTTGCTTTTTGAAGGAGGTGAGTGTACTGCCAGGCAGGCAGGGAATTCTTGCTGGCCAGGCAGGGAGTAGCCTAGGGATGCCCAACCAAGGGTGCCAAGCTCAGCTTAGAAGGGGACACCCACAAGTGCTGCACCCAGCCAGACATGAACATCAGAATCATCAGTGCTTGGGATGCAAAACTTGGGCTTGCGTTCCGGTGGCTGTGGTTTTGAAGATAACTAGTGAACTGAAAACCCTGTGGAGAAAACAAATCCGTCGGTAAGGCTGCCTTCGTGCAGTGCCACCAGCCATGACCCTGAGCGCAGAAAGCACACGCACCCTTTGCAGCAATAAGACGACTAGCCCAGAGACCCCTCCATGAGCTTTCTACATTTCTGCAGATGATTGGACAAAAATAACCATATGATTAAAAGCTTTACTGGGTCAAAGAGATTAAGTCTTTCATTTACAAGTCAGAAATGCGGTGTCAGCGGTAATGAACTACAGGCACTTTATAGTAAAGTTACCTAGAAAGTGCTTTTTAGTCACATTCCACGTGCCTATTCCAGGCTATGGATTCTTTTCAGCAACAACGTAATTTTTAACATCATCTTTTTGCAGGTGTTTTGTTGGTGGGTTTTTCTTTCATTTAAAACATGCAAGACACAGAAAGGATTCATTTCAGAGGGGAAAGTTACTATTTCTGATGAAAGCAATCCAGGGCAACTGGATTCCTAGTAGTAAAACAGTACTCCTAAAACACTTTTCTGGGAGGGCAAAGAGAGACAAAGGAGGAGGGAGAGTAGGCTCTCCAGGCAAAAGCAACAGCATTCGATTTCTTGAAGTTTGCTTGAGAATACATTCTCTATAGGTAGGAGGGTTGATTTTAGTGTTCATGTTCTGATTTGCTGCTCGCTTAGCAAAAAGAGTGACAGGACTTCTCAACACTTCAGAGTTGTGCCAGAAATTCACACAAATTTTCAGGACTCAAAATCAGAAGGTGGAGAGAAAAAAAAACCCAAGCCATCCCCTCACTCCCACAACGATTAACTATTGCCACACAGGAAGGAAGTCATTCATAGGCAGCTGCGGTTCAAAGTCAGGATTGTATTGGAGATTCCATAGTGTGTATTCCTAGAGGCAAGTTACATGCCAAATACTAGAAATAAAGCATCGGTTTTCAGACTTTGTTTCCTATGTATGTATTTCAAAAGGGAATTTCAAATGCTTCTGCACCATTTGCACCTTAAAACTTTCTGTAGATGATTGATATTATACTGACCCCTAACACAGCTCCTCTTCAGAGTTACTATTTACAGATTCTGACAGTAATTAATATCACTCAGTTTCAGTCATAAGCATCAGGTTTGTGACAATGGTCAACTTTTGCTAGAATAGCTTCATGTGCAAACATCATCACAGATACGTTTCCTTCACCAAAGGCAGACATAGCAGGAGCCTCCTTCACACAGCATACATTGAAGGACATGTTTCAAGTGTCAAGAGAAAATACACAACAAAATCCATAACAGCACCAGTAATAAATCACAAAGATCAAATGCCATTTTCCTGAGAACTCTGAAGAAACTGAAGGAAGCTGAGAAATTAAATATAGCATCTAACCTCCAGAGCAGCAGAAAGCATCAGATGTGACCCCTTAGCAAAGACTATAGAGGAATCTATTGGGCTGAGGCTACAGACCAGTGGTTTTGACATCCACACTGAACAAAGGGATAAAATCATAATAATGAATATCAGGGGTGAGGACCTTGCAGAAGAGCCAGCACAGCTTTTGTGGGAAGGTGTAGGGGAAATCTTGCCTCTACACCTATTCGAATTTTTTGGTAAGTCAACAAGCAAACAAACAAAAGACAACTGTCTCTAGGTGGATTTGACCACACACAGCCATTTTCACAGCTATTTTCATAGCTGCTCAGCAGCAATTATTTTGTGCATGCCTTTACCTCAGTAAATAGTAACTCACTAAAAATACCAAAATACAAAAAAAAAAAAAAAAAAAGAAACAAAAAAAACCCAAACAAACCACCAAACAAAAAAACCCAACCAACCAACCAAAATACACACCCAAGCCCCAAGAAGCTTTCCGTCATCACAAGGTATTTCTAGGCAGTGGCTATATGCTAGGCTTGCAGTGTGTGCAGCTGGCCATGTTATTCAAGGGTGACTAACTGCAAATTAACAGTTAACAAAACAAAACCCCAACAGAGTTTTTTTCTTCTGCCAAACACCTAAAAATCTAAACAGAAATATCTAAATAAAAAGCTTACTGCTTGAATATTATTACCATTATAGCATGTTATTTGGAAAACATTTGATCATATTCCAAAACACAATACTATGACAAGCTGGTAAACACAATATAGACAGACTAAGTTTGCTACTGGTACAGTAACAAACCATACAAACAGCCTAGATATATCTTGAGTGACTGTATTTAAGGTTTTATGTATAAAGTCTCAAATGTATTTTATGTACATTGGGTTTCATTTTTAAGTAACTTTTTGACATTTGGATTCTGCCCCAGTCTCCCTCATAGCAAAAAAAAAAAAAAAAATAAATAAAAAAATTGGAAGAGTAAACGTTACAATTAAGGCAAAGTTATGAGATTCATGGAATTGGCTTTCAAGCACCGCCTTTGACTTCACATTCAATCTGAATTTCTTATTTTGGGTCTGTACCTGGAGAAAACAATTTGAAGAATCCCTTTGCTGATTTTGAGGCTCTTGTAATCCCAGGT